GTGAAAAAGCACTTAGAATTGCAATAACCTTCGATAAACAGGAATTTTAAAAAAACACTTGTGTTGAGTTCATGTACAAATATGGTTCTTTCATCATTCGAAATCTCAATTCTATAGTTACATTTCTGTTGTTTGTAGAGTGACTCCCACCGAATTTCTTACAACAAGTTCAATAATTAATACTTCTTAAATTAGCTATCTAATCAACTATCGAACTTCTATTAACATCTAATTAACTATTAAATTAACTATCTTTTGGTAGGTTTTGAGCAGCAGAACAAAATGTAATTTTAATTAAACACCGAAAATGGCGGTTTTTAATAAAAAGAGACTCATGCCTAATCATTAATTAACGCTTTTATCATTCGAATCCTTGTCAAAGAAGAAGTGCAAAAATATTCACACCAGGGATAATATATTAATATTAAGAAGGAAGAATAAAAAAGAAAATCATTATCGAAACCTGACAAAACATTAACAAGGAAGACGATATTAAAAGCATCAAAATCTACTTTTTTATTTCCAGAGAATTTGAAAGGACATTATTAGAAACACTTTCAAATTTCATCCAGAAATCATATTGGTTCAAAAAATTTTAAATCTCATCTTCCTCAATAATTATCCGGTCAGATTTCGATAAGTTTTTCTTAGTTTAAATTCTAATTTGAGCCTATTGATAGATTCGGGTTTTGGTTTGAGTTCGGATTTAACTTCTCTTTTTATATTTTAAATAATTTTTTCATTCTCAAATTATAATTGATAGTATAGGGTTCAGCCAATAGCAACATGGCCTACATCTTTTGCTGTTCACTACGTTGATATAATGAAATCCAACACATCTTATGATCTTGTTGGTAGCTGATAAGTTATAACACTTATTACTACTTATATACTTATATACTTATACACTTATTACTATATATNTATATACACTCAAATCGATGTCTATATACATCGACTCTATATATATGTACACTCAAAAACAAAAAAAAATCGATGCACCAAGAAGCAATGTTTCGAACAGATCAAGCTGGAATGATGCCGACTGGGGACGTATAGTCTTTAGCGACGAATCCCGCTTCCAACTGTGTCCTGACGATTATCGAAGACGTGTTTTGAGACTCACACTGCAGAGGGGGGATCCTGCCTTCACTATTGCACGCCACACCGGCCCTCAACAAGGCATTATGGTCTGGAACCATTTCCTTTGACAGCCGGACCACTTTGGTCGTCATTAGAGGTATACTTACTGCGTAGCTGTACGTCGACGACATCCTAAGACCTGTTTTGCTACCGTTCCTTTTGCAGTGCCCTGGGCTGGTTTTTCAGCAGGACAATGCCAGACCACATACGGCACGTGTTGCTGAGAACTGTCTGCAAGCTTGTCAAACTCTTCCTTGGCCTGCCAGATCACCAGATCTTTCTCCCATCGAGCATGTCTGGGATATGATGGGAAGGCGATTGCATCTGGCACGGAATCTTGATGACCTCGTTCGACAATTGGATCGAATTTGGCAGGAAATACCGCAAGAGACCATCCGGGAGCTTTATCGGTCTATGCCACGCCGTGTGGCAGCTTGTATCCAGGCTAGAGGCGGGTCAACACCTTATTGAACTTGTTACTGTAACTTTGCAAGTAATTATTCAACTGTTCTGAAATTTCAATCATTTACTATTCTGTACACTGTCTTCCTATCCACCAGTTTTCGTTTCAATCGGATAACTCCTTCTCGGTGCGTCGATTTTTTTGTTATAGAGTATATACATGTATATCTCTTTACATATAAGAAGAGAATGGAATGATAACACATAGCCAATCACAGAAGACTTCTGGTTAGTAACGCACAAAACAGCCAATCAAAATTGAGAACGCATGTATGTGAAAAGGTAATAATTTTTAATAATGCTGTCAAAAAATACAACATACAAACTGACCTCAAATAAAACTCAGAAGACTTCGAATCAAATAATTAAGAAAACTCTACTATTACGTTTATAAAAAGGAAGATTTATTAACTCAACAACAAAATTATAACATCGCCATTCCAAGAAAAGAAAAAAAAAAAAAAAAAAAAAAATCTCACACTTGTTACGTAAAGCTATAAGAAGACCGAACGATTATTTATGCAAACGATTATATATGATTATTATGAACTAAACTTTATGCTAAGGCTCTACTTTATGCAAACGATTGTTAATGACGTCATTAGATAAAAGTGTCATTAACGCAATATTATCCAGTGTTTATTAATAATTTTGAGTGGCAATGTAAAAAGATTGTTGTTCTAAAGTTTTATAATAAAATGTTTGCTTTGATAGAACAGAACGCAGTTATTTATTTTAGAATTCCAATATATTTTAATAGCTTTGATAAATCGGGTAGAGTTATTGGAAGCACGAATCAACACTCTCTCAAAAAACTATTTGCATTCCAAATTATCAAAATATATTGAACGAAGTTTACTTTAAAATACTTATATCTTTTATAAAAAATGGATCGCCGTGAATATCTTAGGCGATATCAACAGCGGCATAGAGCTTACCATGATTTAGCTGCACAAAATTAACTGGAAAATAATCGTACGCTATCAATACGTGACGGAGGAATGCACGGCGAAGAAACGTTGAAAAGTCAAGACGTTTAAATGAAAACGAATACCTTGGTGTACTTTGTCAGTTGAAAGTATCGAAGTTAATTCAGCAATTACTTGCAATGGTATTTGCTTTTGAAATATTACTTAGAATCAACTTATTAATATTGCATGTTTTAATTTGTTTGTAATTTTTGTGAAGTTTTTTTCATCAGGTTTTAATTGTTTTTAGTTTAAAATTTAAGTTACTGGGGGGGGGGAGGAGATAAGGCACCATATAGGGAGCGTCCGGCATCCTATAAGATCAACAATGATTTGAGTTAGGCTCTACCACGCGTGCTTCGGATACAGAGATTAATCTCCGGCTAATGCCCTATAGTAATGTGTTAAATAATATTGCTTCTCGCCTTATATAAGTTTACAATATTGTTTGTATTGAAATTGCTTTATATAAGTTTATAATGGTGATACTAAGTTCCTCTGACATTTTACAATCTTATCATATTCTCTCTAAGTGATGTTGGTGCAGAAAAATTGCCAGCTAATCTCCAGGAAAACGACTTTAAGTTTGTTCGCGAAGAGAACGAAAATGTAGTTGCGTAGCAATTATCGGGGGTTGGCGAGCTGTAGCGAGCAGGGGGNTGCGAATGAGGATTTGAACTAACTGAACAGCAGTTGTGTTAAAGTAATGAAAAGTAAATATTATATATATATATATATATATATATATATATGAAATATTTGCACAGACGTCTCTTAATTTTGTAAATAATCTGCCACTGTTGCTGCAAATGATGATTACTTTTAAAAATATTCTTTTAAAGTTTTTCCTCAATTATCAGTATCGCTCAGTTAAACAATGATTTTCGTAAACTCAGAATTTGGTCGGCTTTTCTACGCCGATTATAATATAAAATTATCAACCTCATATCTTATTAACTTTGTAAGAGACTTTAAAACTTAGGGCGAATAAGCATCATTTCCTGAGCAGAATGCCAGAAACATTAAATTTTTTCTCACTCCGTTTTTTTCACTTTTTTTCAAATCGTGGTTCATATTTTTGACATCCAAGGAATACTTCCTTAGTCACCCAAACTATTTCACCGCCACGTAGCAGTAAAAAACTTAACTACTATCCAAAATCATAAGTTAATCGCTTTCTTTTATTATTTTTAATGGCATTTATGAAGTTCTTTGTAATCTTTTGTTTGTTTGTTTTATTTTAGTTCTGTGAAATAAACTACATAAATTCTTCAATGATGTCGATTGTTGATGAAAACAAAAGAATTGTTTGTAAAGTAAATTTCGATTCATTTCTCACCACCATTTCTTTTTAAATTTATTTCAGAGTTGAATAAATTTCATATTTTCAGCGAATTACATCCACCATTAATTCTTTTAAACTTATAGAAGAATTAATACGAAAACGCTTCTTTAATTTAGATTTTTTTCTCTGTTTAAATCAAAATTTATCACATGACAGAATGAAAATAAGAAAGAGTAAATAAAACTGTGATAGAAAGACCTTTAACTAATAATGGAACTCTGGCGTAACTACCACTACGATTATTAAACATCAATTCACTAGTATATATTAGACATGCTAACTTGATTCAATCTTGAGGTACCTTTTGATAGATGAAGGTTGGCATTGTCTAACGGTCTTTCCCCATATTGGTGACCCGGACGTGATGTGGGGAAAGACCGTAAAACAATGCCAACCTTCATCTATCAAAAGGTACCTCAAGATTGAATCAAGTTAGCATGTCTAATATATACTAGTGAATTGATGTTTAATAATCGTAGTGGTAACTATACCACAGAGCTAAAATCTAAAATGAAAGACTTGAATTGATTAGAAAATACGTAATGCACAAAGTGAAAAAAAATTCAAAATACTAACGTAAATTCCAACTACACATCTTAATTCAATAATTTTTGCAAAAATAAAGAAAGCTCAACTTTTAAACTACATAAAGGAGTAAACAAAAATATGCCAGAGGCACTAAATTTTAAACTGTGGAGCATTAATTATTCTAATGCACAGTATCAACTAGCCATTTCTTTTTAGTTTCTAGATGGGGTTGCAGCCCGTTGGGCGAGATGAAACTTAATGAAGAGAACCGTGATGGCGCCATAGTTGTTCTTCCTTTAATTTTATCCTTCCAGCATTTATAAAAATACTATCCAAAAAAAATCACGCGATTGTACTAAAATTTCCCATTACTGATTTTTTGTTTTATTTTAATGCTCCATTCTTCACGAAAATCATTCCTTTTATATCAAATCCATTAGTCCTATTTTTCTGAATTTCTGCTTTCTAATAAAAATGTATGGTTGGTTTAAGCAGGATTTGTACAATTTGTTTCAATAGAAATTAAATGTTCACTAATGTTGCTAAATCAGCATTCAAATCGCCATTATTATTATTTTTTCAAAAAATTGCTACTCTAGAATGTTGCTGACATATTACCTATGTATTTCTTTCGTTATAAGCATGTTTTCAGCTGCAATTGGATCACGCTTTCCAAATAGAGGTAAGGCAAATTTATTTCAAAGTTACGCGATATCTGTATTATCTTCATATTTCAAGCGGTGGACCGATAGTTCGAAATTAAGCTGATTCAATTACTTTCGTGATGCGTGAACTAACTCTTAATTTGTAAAAAAAATCGTTTAGAGCATTGCGAAAGCTATTAAGAAGGTGTTAAATGTTAAAATTATATCTATTCTATATTAAAATATATCATTCTTGTTGAGATTGTTAATAAACTTGAAGTCACTTAAACTTTGCTGTTATATGATATTATATTCACTGGTATATTTGCCTTCAAAAATATTAAACAACGGTTTTTATTTTATTGCTTTTTATTTATTTTTCTCTTCTTTTTTTTAAATTTTCTTAATGATTAAGGGTATTTAGAAAAAAATGGTTAACTGGTAAAAATGCAGAATATAGTGCACTCTCAGATTTGGCGCTGAATAATGTTTTTGATATCTTTTATTTATTATTATTAATATTATTATTTTATTTCCATTATAATTAATTTTTATCACATTTTTTTAAGAAAATCTCACTTTTAAGTCATTTTCCCAGTTTTCTGCATGAACATAAATAATTACCAAAATAAAAGGGGCACCTTATCGTACACTTTTACCTAAAAATTTTATTTTCCGTCATTTTCTAATGTTATGTTCAAAATATGTTGAGTGCTATTAAATAGTCTAAGAAAACCGTTTAAAAAATCAGAAAGTTGATTCTTACATGACGAAAAATGTAAACAAATCTAATTTTTAAATGCTAATTAATTAATTGTTAATTAATAAATTTTAATCTAATTAATTAACTTTTAATCTTTCTGTCGATGTGCAAAATTAACTATGACTGCAAAAGCTGAAGAAAAAAACACATTTTGATACATTACAGATGAAAATAATTTAAATTTATCGCAGTACTACAAAACCATCTTTTAAGTATGAATTGCCAAAATTTACAGTATTTATATTTATCAAAAGAATCGGCATTACTTTCAACTTATTCACAGCATTTCTATTCGCGGAACTCTCTTATAAGATGCAATTAAGTTGCACGATGCTTCAACAAATATAATCATGATTCTTCTTAACTTGATCTCTTTGACTAAAAACACAACATTGACAGCACTAGTGTCATTTTATCCCTTTAGGAAAAATGAACACGTAATGAAACATTATTGCCAAGCATCTTATGACTAATCAAATAGTACAAGGTAACCAATGAAGTTCTCGCCGTTTTTAAATGCCTAAAAGAAAATGATTTTCAGAAAGCGTAACCTATTGTTTAAAGTAATAGCCATCGGGGAAACACATTCTGCCCATGAGTCTCCAGCTGTGCAATCTCATTGAGGTAAAACTTATGGGTTTTCGGCGCTTCATTGCAATGCAGACGCTTCACTTGTTGCGATGCAGGCACTTCATCGCAACAAGTCTGCTTCATTGGTGGAGGATTTTCCACGAAGATGATTATCCAGGCAGTAGAAGAGGTGGTAATCTAATTTTGCAGTTCAGGAGAGTCAGGAGGATGTCACGAGGTCTCCCAACGAAGTAGCTGTCTGGTGTTCCTGTCCACCCGCGACTTTACATGCAAGACGAGTGCAACTTTGTGATTCACCAATGCTGGTTAATTTTATTGCAATACCTGTTTCATAAGTTACAATTGCCACGAATACAGGATGGAATTGGAAGTGACTGTTCTGCCCGATGCTAGCAGCTCATAGTGAACCACTTGACATTTAGTCCACCAGACATAACATATTTTGTATGGGTACTCAGGTAGTCTTGCACTGTGATGGACGGTATTCTGAAATGGCAACCAATGTTTGGAAATGATTCACTTAATCGGCGACTTGCTGCTGCTGATAAGCCCACTTTGAAGACGTAAAGTAAACAAGACCGAACGAGCTCCTTTGAAGCTGTTTATCTTCGCTACTGTTTGAATTACGATTGATAAAACTACGTGATAGATCTGCTTTTATAAGGACTGATATTCATACCCTCAACCGAAAGATTTTTCAACCACGTGATAAACTGATTTACATACGTATTCCCATTTTATTCAATGGTAAAGCAAAATCAGCATGAACTTACCTTATAGAAGTCATACTAATTAATTTGATACAGCAAAATTAACATTAGATTTGTAGTGTATCCAACACTACAAAAATACAGTTCCAATTCCCTAGCATATAAGACATGTTAACTCGATTCTATGTTGGGGTTCCTTTTCATAGATGAAGGTTGACATTGTCGATAACTACAAACCCCACATTGGTTACCCGAACGTGATGTGAACACGCCAACCTTGGCAGTAACGCCAACTTCGATCTGAACACGCCTACTTCGATGGATGGTCCACATTGAACAGTTGACTTGTGACTGTGACATTATCCACCTCCTCGCACTGTTGCTACTCAGTCTCGTCTCGATCATGCACAACGTCGGCTTGCATACTTGTGATTACTGGACAGCTAACGGCAACAGAGGAGCGACTACGACCGTGAAGTTAATACACCTCTCACATTCAGCACTCAAAAAATACGGTGATTTTAATACAGCTCTCCCGGCTTCTCACAAAACAGCAATGAATCAACTAGTGGTATTCGTTCATCGAATTCTATCACAGATATAATTCTAGTGGGGGAGTACTGTAGCGTATCTACCACTACAAAATTACAACTACAATTCACTAGTATATAAGACATGTTAACTCGACTCTATGTCGGG